GACCCCTCCCAACCTCCTGCATCCCCATTTCCCACCCTGGCAATGTGGAATTACAGCAGTGGGGGCAGAGCAAAGCATCCAACAAATGATGCAAAGGAAGGGCTGGGGAGGCAGGAGTGGCTTTGAAAATAACCCCTGCACCGAGTCAGGATCAAAGGAATTTCTGTTTATCCTTCCAGCTGCAAAGAGCTGGCAAATATCCCTGGGGCTGCTGCTGGAAATAGCAAATGATGTTTATGGCTGGGCCTTGTTTGTGTGTTTTATGGGTCACACTTATTTCACAGGGATCACTTTTTGTTTGTTCCCCATGCCCACAGCTTCCCATGGGACTGAGCTGCCTCCTGGGCATGGTTCCTACCTCTCCTGCTGGCCACCTGCAGGGTTCTGCTCCTCCATCCCTGCCTGGATTTCTCCACCTGTGCAATTCCTCAGTTCTGGCCTGGACTGGGAGGCTCTGAGGTTGTTTCTGTGCTAGAAATGAATGGTATGGCACCAGAACTTTGTGCAATTTTGGATGTCCCAAAAGAAAAAAGGTCTAAAGGGGTTAGAGAACAACCAAGAAGGGACATGGAGATGGGGAAGGGTTTGGAGGAGCAGCTGAGGGCACTTGGAGTGTCCAACTGGAGCAAAGAGCTCAGGGATCTGTAGCTCCTCCTGAGGGGCAGCTCCCATCTCTGCTCTGGGACAGGGACAGCAGCCAGGGCACGGCTGGAGCTGGGCCAGGGCAGCTCAGGCTGGAGATCAGGGCGAGGTTCTTCCCCCAGAGGCTGCTGGCACTGCCCAGGCTCCCCAGGGAATGGGCACGGCCCCGAGGCTGCCAGAGCTGCAGGGGTGCCCAGGGTGGGGTTGTTGGGGGGTCTGAGCAGGGCCAGGGTTGGTTCCATGTTCTCTGTAGATGCTTCCAGCTGAGGATATTCCATGATTTGATGAAAGAACAGCAGGATAAGATTTACCAGTTGCAAATGTGGGCAGCTCCTTTTCTCCAAGGGGAATGACCCAAAACACCTGATGGATCAAGGCAAGGCACACAAAAGCCCCAGGAATCAGAGGATCCCAGAATCCTGTGGTAGTTTGGGCTGGAGGGGATCTTAAAGCCATCTCCTGTCACGGGAAGTGTTACCTTCCACTCTCTCAGGTTGCTCCAAGCCTCTCCAAAATCACTGTAAAATACTTCCACTGGCAGGAATATTCCACAAAATCCCCTTCTCCACTGGAGCTTTTGCTGTGTGGAAAAGCCACAGGCAGCCAGGGAATTTAATGGTCATCCCTGGAGTTCAGGAACATCTCAAGCTCCAGGAGATGTTGTTGATTCAGTCAAGACCCTCTCATTTATCTGTGCTGAGATCCTCAGCTCAATCATCAGCTCAATCTTCCCCTCCACCAGAGAATTGCTGCTCATTTCTCCTCTGCCCTGATCAAATCCAGCTTGGAGCAGCGCTGAGATCTTTGCGTGAGCTGGGTCTGGGCTGGGGAACATCCATAAATCAGAAGCCAAACCAGAATAACAGGGGTATTTAAAAGGGTCTTTTCTCAGTCTCCAGCCCAGCCCTGGCGGGGCCATGGTGGGGCTCGGGAGCAGCCTGGGCCAGGCTGGGCTCAGTTTGTGTTGGCCGAGCCCTGTGGCATTTCAGAAACCCAACTCCACGTCCTGTCTCCAGCTCAGCCCTGGCCTGGCTGGGAGCTCACAATAAATCCATACATTTTATCAGGGTTGGGGAAACTGGAATGCTGGAATGCTGAGCCCTGGAGGGAAAGCTCTGCCCCAGGCAGGAGATGGGCTGGCTTGGCTAGAGCCAGGCTCAGTTAGGTCAGGTGTGAACCCACACTGAAACCAACGCCAGCTCTGCCAGACACGTCCTGACCATATCTTAGCTACTGCAGCTCTATTATCAAAGCCAATTAAAGCAAGAGGCTCAGGGACTGATTTACCCTTCTGCAGCCACTCACCAGCCAGGAGCAGTCCCCGTTATTAACGGGAATTTAATTAGAGGGAGAATCTGAACCACTGAAAGAGGTAGAGGAGGGCTTTTAACAGGATTTAGTAGGATCACACTGAGGAACCCTCCTCTGGTTTGGAAACCAAGAGAATTGCCAACATTTCACATTTGGGCATCCCCAGTTAATGGGCTTTTGGTGGGAGGAGGCTGGTTGGATGTCCCAGAGGGAATACTTAGGGCAGGATGTGCTTTTCCAAAGGGAATCTCCACCCTGGCAGCCCATCCCGAGGCCTCCTCCAGGTCTGGCTTGGAGCAGCCAAGGAGGGAAATGAGAATGGCTCCAGCACCCAGCCTGCTCCTGTAGCTGTGACCAAGAGGAGAAGTGTGGAATGTTCTGTCCCAGAGCTGTCCCATGTTGGGGGATACAATATAAGAAAATAAAAATAGTGTAGAAAGTAATCTCACCCCTAAAGAGCTGCAGCTGGGCCAATTATCAAAGTTTCGGAGGAGGCCTGGCTTTAACAGGCCACAGCTGTAACCAGTAATAAGAGTGCTATAAAAGAGTCAGTTGGCTACTTTGTGAGGAAGAGAGAGTTGGTGCTCTGAGGAGCAGCTCATGAGAAGACACCAAGATGGTATGAAACTTCTGTGATAAGGAGACAGCAGTACAGAACTTTTGCAATAGCATGATAACAGTCCCACACTGCCCCTGGCTCTGATATAGAATATTTAGGGCAGGATGTGATTTTCCAAAGGGAATCTCCACCCTGGCAGCCAATCCCGAGGCCTCCTCCAGGCCTGTCTTGGAGCATTCAAAGTGAGAAATAAGAAAAGCTCCAGCACCCAGCCTGGTCCTATGGCTGTGACCAAAAGGAGAAGAGTGGAATGTTCTGTCCCAGACCTCTCCCACACCGCCTCAGGCTCTGATAAGGAATATTTCGTGCTTTTCCAAAGGGAGGGCCCATCCTGAGGTCTCCTTCAGGCCTGGCTTGGAGCAGCCGAGGAGGGAAATGAGAATGGCTCCAGCACCCAGCCTGCTCCTGTGGCTGTGACCAAGGGATGTGTGGAGTGCTCAGTAACCAAATTGATTAATAATTCAGAGGTCACATTTAACCTCTCCACAGAAGAAAGCAGGAGACGGGGCTGGGCCTTGCTGCAACAATCTGGGCTCTCCTGTAAAGTTTCCTGGTGGAATTTCGAGTTGCTCTCTTGCTCTTTGGTTGCAGTTAAACAATTGGCAGATGTGATGGCAGAAAACTAATTTTCTGCTAGGAGGATTGGAGTGGTTCGAGATTTTGGGGTGATTTCTGAGCATGTTTATAAGCACTGGAGCCACTGAGATGTCATTTGGGGCACCCTTCCAGACTCCAGGTCTGCTGTGGAGCATCCTGGTGCCCAGAACAAGGAGACAGAGCACAGAAAAACTGAATTTTCCCTCCTTAATAGGAAAATCAGTTGGAAAATATACAACCAACTTCCTCTTCATCCCCATTACAGAAATGCACATAGAGTGAAAAGAGCAGGGGCAGCAGCACATTTCTTATTCATCCTCTGCAAATATTCCATTGAAGTTTGCTGTTAAATATTCCATTGAAGCCTGGTTTGTGCTGGTTCAGAGCAGAGCAGCCCCCCCGGGCTGTGATCTGAGCTGGAACTGAGACTTTATTTAAGACTGAGAAAACCCCACTTTTTTCACACTGTGATGTTTGAAAAGTGCACAAAATGATCCCAAAAGGGGAGCAGGTGTGGAATTCCAGGGACATCAGCAGGGCCATCAGTGACATCTGGAGGGCCTGAGCTGGGCAGAGTCACTGGTGAACAGGCACAGATCCTTATCACTGCTGATAAGGCAGAGAGGCAGATTTTGAGAGGAAATTGAAAGAGAAATATCAGCTTTTCTTTTGCAAGCAGCACAAACATGAGAAAGATCAGGCCAAGGTCAAAGCACCATTTTTTGCTCACTACATTTTTTTAGAAATCAAATTATTTCTTCCTTTACTCAGCAATCAGACACCCTCAGAAACCAGACTCACAGTTTAGAAGCCATTAACATTTTTATTTTAATTGAAACTCGTCTTCCAGGTGACATAAAAGCAGAGAAAAATGCACCCACTCAGGTATGAAACAGCAGAGCTGGATATTCTGGGTTGTGTCAATCACCACAAGCAGACAGGATGAGGGCTGCAATTCCCAGGGGATTTTTTGCTGATCCCTTTGCTGTAGGAATTCTGCTGGAGGAGCTGCAGGGCTGGGTTATCCCGGAGAAAATTCCTTCCCTGTTCATCCCTGTCATAGTTGGACATGGGATTTACATGTCCCATGGGACATTTCCATTTCCATGGAACACTTCCATTTCCATTTTGGCCAGAGGGACCGATAAGACATTGAGTGGAGCCACAGCCCACCAAGGGGACTTTGTGAGTTTGTCATCTCTTTTGGAGCAGCAAGACATTTTATTATTATTGTTCATTTTTTGTGCTGATGAATGCTTTGCCTATTCAATAAATAGTTTTTTCCACTTTTCTCCAAGGAAATCTTTTCCCCAAACCAGTTAGGGAAGGAACGACTTGAATTTGTTTTTCTAGAACAAACCCCTTTAGAAGTTTTTCTCCCAAAGTTGCCCTAAACCAGGACAATCCTTTAATTCCACTTCCTAAAATTCTTCCTGCTGAGCCAGAGAAGAACCACCACCCTTGTGGCACAGGGCAAAGCTGGCAGGGCTCAGGCCAGCCCTGCACCCACAGCAGCCAAATCCCAGATTCCAGGGATGGCAACCAGAGCCAGAGTCGGGAACTTGGGGTGCCCGAGTTGGGAAATTGGGGTGCCAGTGTCAGGAAATGGGGATGCCAGGGTCAGGAATTTGGGGTGCCAGGGTCAGGAAATGGGGGTGCCAGTGTCAGGAAATTTGGGGTGCCAGAGTCAGGAAATTGGGGTGCCAGAGCGGGACAAGACTCCAGGAGTTCCCTGGCAGGATGTGGCTGGAAAAGGCTGGGAACTGCTCTGGGTGAGGACTGGGGCTGTTAGGGTCAGTAAATTGGGGTGGCAGAGTCAGGAAATGGAGGTGCCAGTGTCAGGAAATTTGGGGTGGCAGGGTCAGGAAATGGGGGTGCCAGTGTCAGGAAATTTGGGGTGCCAGAGTCAGGAAATTGGGGTGCCAGAGCGGGACAAGACTCCAGGAGTTCCCTGGCAGGATGTGGCTGGAAAAGGCTGGGAACTGCTCTGGGTGAGGACTGGGGCTGTGCCAGGGGGAGGCACCAGCAGCACCCAGTGTCAGCTCTCCCCCAGGCTGGGCTCAGATGGTCACGTAGGGAGGGGGGCAATCCTTGGAAGGCAATTCCAGGGCTTCCTCATAGGATGGCAGCACGGCCTGGAAGAGATCAAAGGTTATGGGATCACAGGGATTTCATCCTGGAGGGCTGGGACAAAGAGTGAGAAATTTAACTTAAAAGTAGAAACTAATTTTAGATTTAGCTGAAGAGTGCTGTTTTAACTTGTTTAGTCTATAGCTTGCTAAACTTATTTAATCTACTAACTTACTGAGCTCAGAAAAAAAATAAATTTAAAGTTACTTAAAAGAATACAAGTTTCTAAACTAAAGAGAGATAAGGAGGGCCCCACCGACCATAAAAAGAAAACTGAAGCTAAATTGCAGACATAGTGATGTTAAAAGGACATTACTAGAGAGCTGCACAGGCTCATAAAAACTGATGAGACAGTTTTAATATGAAATGGGGCTAGGAAATAAATATGCATGAACCTGTCGTGAAACTTTATGCATATTCAACAGGTTAGGGGATAAAATAGACTCAGGAATTCTCAGAGGTACACATGTCCTTTGGGGGAGCTATCCTGTGTGTGTCCAACACTGAAATAAATCAAACCAACTTTACAACTTTTACAAATTGTAGAGTTGAGTTTTTCCACAAATCAAGGTTCCTCTGCCTGCTTCCAAGCAGCGACAAAGAAGTGCTTGGGATCTAGGGCACAAAGGGCAGAAATCCAGCAGGGCTTGGATGCACCTTGTGCCAGCGCTGCCCCCATTCCCTGGAAAATAAATGGCCCAGGGCTCCTGAACGTGCGGAATCCCAGCCTCATTCCCAAGGAAATCTGAGGAACGTTGCAGGGGGGCACAGCTGGGACAGCACTGCTGGCAAGGGAGGGCCCAGCAGACTGGTTCAGATAAAAGCCAAACCACAGCATTCCACATCCCTCAACATTCCACATCCCTCAGCCTTTCCTATCCTTCAGCATTCCCTACCCTCAGCATTCCCTATCCCCTCAGCATTCCATCCCCTCAGCATTCCATCCCTTCAGCATTCCATACCCTCAGCATTCCCTGTCCTCAGCATTCCCTATCCCTCAGCATTCCCTATCCCCCAGCATTCCATCCCCTCAGCATTCCCTGTCCTCAGCATTCCCTGTCCTCAGCATTCCCTATCCCCCAGCATTCCCTATCCCCCAGCATTCCCTATCCCTCAGCATTCCATCCCCTCAGCATTCCATCTTACCATTCCTTATCCCTCAGCATTCCATGTCCCTCCCTCTTTTCTTCCCACCCATCCTTACAACACTGAAAATCCCAAACTCTCAGACAGAAAAGTGAAGGAAAAGCTGATTTTAAACACTTTTAGCTATGGAAACCAAAGTCCATCTGGAATTGCCCCACATTCCCATATCAGGGATCACAAGGAATGCTTGAAATTCCCATTTATCTGCCATGCCTGATTTTCACCCTCCTTGCACATTGACTTTAAAGATTTTATGCAGAAAATAAAGAAGTGAAATTAAATAGATATATGGTAATTAAAAACTGATTATTAGCACTTGCTACTGGGGATTTGAAGAATTGGAAATTCTCTCAGATACCAGAAAAGCAGAGATAAGCAAGGATCACCAGTCTAAAGGATTCCTGTTCATGGAATGAATTCACTTTTCTTCACCTCTGCCACTACTTTTGAGTCCATTTTCAGGAATAAGTTCACTTTTACACCCCTTTTCCACTTCTTGTGGAAGTGGTAGTGCAATTCCTGGGGGATTTTTGGCTGATCCCTTTGCTGTAGGAATTCTGCTGGCAGAGCTGCAGGGCTGGGTTTTCCCAGAGAAAATTCACTTTTCCACTGCCTATGGCTCCACTTCCAGGAACAAATATATTTTTCTTCACCTTTTCCACTGTTTTAGGTCCACTTTCAGGGGTAAATTCACTTCTCCTCACCTTTTCCACTGCTTGTGGCTCCGCTTTCACCTCCTCCCTCCTGCTGGCTTTGATGAACTTAAAGCAGCTCAGGACACATTTGAACATGTAGGCCTGGAAAAGAGGGAAAGGGACAGAAAAGGGCATTTTCCCATGGCACTGCGGGGCAAAAAGGGCATTTCCCCTTTCACCACCAGCCTGGGATTTTCCTGCTCTTTTCTCAGGAGGGAGAAGTTTGGGACCACGATCCCAGGGCCTTAAATCAGTGTCTCCATCCTTTCCCGGGAATGTGATGATTCCATGAATTCAGAAAAGCACTGGGGTGGGACTGGGATCAATAATTCAGTAAATATGAAGTGATTAAACACAAACCCCATTAAACACAGCGCTGAGAGCTCTGAGAGCACAATATCCTGACTAGGAAAGGAAAGCATTGATGTCATTTCCAGAGCAGGTCTGGATTCCATTAATTCAGAACAATAAAATTAATATAAAGGATTAATTAATGTAAATATAAATTTATAAAAATAGAAATTTATTAAAGTGATTAATTCCATGAATTCAGAACAATGCTGGGATAGGACTAGGATCAATAATCCAGTAAATAAAAAGTGATTAAACATAAAATCTATTAAAGCACAACACTGAGACCTCTGAGATCACAATATTCCAAGGTAGGAAAGGAAATCGTGTCCTTGATGTGATTTTCCAGAGCAGGTTATGAAGTCTGGATTTCATTAATTCAAAACACTGAGGTGGGACTGGAAATGCAGTAAATATAAAATGATTAAACATAAAATAATCCCATCCCAACTCTGGGATGGTACTGGGACCAACAATCCAGTAAATAAAAACTGATTAAACATACAATCCATTAAAAGACAACATTGAGACATCTGAGATCACAATATCCCAAGGTATGAAAGGAAATCGTGGCCTTGATGTGATTTTTCAGAGCAGGTTACAAAGCCTGGATGCCTCAGGAAAGCACCAGAGGCACCACAGAGATCCAAGGACTGCCCCAAAAATCCCTTCATTCAGCAAAATCCCATTTTTGCACTTCCCTGACAGGACCTCCTGGCACCCCATGGATTTATCCATGCAATAAATGGATATTTATCCATGCAATAAATGGATATTTATCCATTTTCTGAGGGAAAAGGGCTGATTGAGGGGCTGTGGCTCAGGGAAATAAGCGGGGTCTGTGGGGCTGGCCCTGTTAAATCAATATTTTCCCTGCTCGAGTCATGTGCCTGGTGTTTGTGTTGGCCTGGGAATGTGCTGGGAGCAGTTGGGATTTTCAGGGAACACAGGGAGCCACAGATCCCAAACCCAGGCTGTGCAGCTGAGCATCCCCAAGCCAAGAGAAAGAGAAAAAAAAATGAATGAAATATCTGAGGTGAAAAAAATCAATCTCAACATTCCAGAGACTGGAGGTAAATCCAAACTTTGAGCATCTTTTGGGAGTGTTGCAAAACCCTTCCTGCTTCCAAAGCCTCTTCATCCAGAGAGCAAACCTGGAGCTGTCATAGGAACTGGGTAGAAACCTCCACTCATCCATGGGGAAAAAACCTAGAAATCTGAAATATCTGAAAAATAAATCTTAAAAAAACCCCAAAAAACTATACAGCAAAGGAATGCACTTCCTGATTTTGGTTTTGAAATGGAATCATACAACAAAGGAATGCATTCCTCAATTTTGCTTTTGACATAAAAAAAAATCACGCCCAGGACAATGAGAGCTGTTTGTGTTGGTACCAAGCCAAGAGAAAGAGAAAAAAAAAGAATGAAATATCTGAGGTGAAAAAAATCAATCTCAACATTCCAGAGACTGGAGGTAAATCCAAACTTTGAGCATCTTTTGGGAGTGTTGCAAAACCCTTCCTGCTTCCAAAGCCTCTTCATCCAGAGAGCAAACCTGGAGCTGTCATAGGAACTGGGTAGAAACCTCCACTCATCCATGGGGAAAAAACCTAGAAATCTGAAATATCTGAAAAATAAATCTTAAAAAAACCCCAAAAAACTATACAGCAAAGGAATGCACTTCCTGATTTTGGTTTTGAAATGGAATCATACAACAAAGGAATGCATTCCTCAATTTTGCTTTTGACATAAAAAAAAATCACTCAACAAAGGAATGCATTCTTTGATTTTGGTTTTAAAATATATCAAAATCATACAACAAAGGAATGCATTCCCCCATTTTGATTTTGAAGTAAATTAAAATCATACAACAAGGAATGAACTTCCTGATTTTGGTTTTGAAATAAATCAAAATCTCAAGGAATGTTTTATTCCCTTTCATTTCTGCTTTCTTATCCCTGTGGTGCAGGAGGCCTTTATCATTCCAAAGGGAAATAAAGATTATTGGAATATTTGCCCACCTGCTATCCCTGGAAGTGTCCAAGAAAGGCTGGAGCACCTGGGACAGTGGAAGTGAGATGAACCTAAAGGTGCCTCCAGCCCACCTCACCCCATGGATTTAGGATCACTCATGGATGCAGAGTGGAATTGCCCTCATGGTGCAATGGCAGCATCACCCTGGCCTTGGAATATTTTTTCCAAGGAATTTGGCAGAACTGATCTTGTTCCCACTGGAGCCCCACAGCCCCAGCCCCACCCTGCCCTTGGAAGATTTTTTTCCATGGAATTTTGAACTGGTTCTGCCACCACAGGTAATGCAGAGCCAGCCCCATGCTGCCCTGAGCTGGGAGGCTGCAGGGAGAGAATTCCATGGGATTTCACCCATGGAAGAGGAGAGGGATTGGCACTGAGATTAAAGGATGGGGGTCCTGATGGCTTTTTGGGGTTTTATTATCCCACCCCATCCCTCCTCTTACAGCCCCACCACAAAAACCCATTGCAAGTCCAGCATTTTGTGGGTAAAGCTGTGGAAAATTCCAATTAATCCATGTGCCAGGTCAGGGAGATTCCTGCCAGCTGGGGCTCGGGGTTATCTTCACTCCAGCTGCACACTCCATGTAAATATTAAAAGAGATTTTAAAGCCATGCTTTTAATGCATCCACACAAAATTCTCCACTCCCCACTGGCTTATCTGGCCCACCTGGAGGGCTCAGAATATAAAATGGTTTCCAGCTCACAAGCAGCACTTTCTGTCCAAGCACCTGCAAAATTCTGGTTTTCTTCATGGGGCTGAAGGTGAAAAATCAGTTCTCTGAGCCACTGAAGCAATAAAAGAATAAAACCCCTCTCTAGTGGAGCTTCCTGAGGCACTGGCAGGGTTTAGCTCCTGGTTTTAATGAACTTCGGGAGTATCAGGGTGCAGATCCCTGCTCCCATCAGAGAGGACACAGCCACTCACCTAATGAAAGGTCTCACCTGCTGCTCAATAATCTGATTTACTGGGGCACTTTACAGCACAGCACTTTGCTGTGTTTTTTTAACCTTTTTCTCTTTTTAGACAGGAATGGACAGTGATGACTTGTGGGTGTAAGAAGGATTTTGCTTGGTAACTCACACAGAGGAGTAAAGGCAGGATTTGGATAAACCATACAGAGGCACAGCTCCCACTGTACCCGGGTGTCAGACTTAAGATTTTTCTGACCCAGAGATGGGGTAACTGAGAGGCATTTTAAAAACTTTTATTCCATTTTCAGTCTCATGTGAAGGGTGAGACAATACAGATGTTATAATTCACACCATCACAATCAGAAGCCAACTATTTCCTAATTAATAAATATATTATAAGCTTTTCTTGGCTTATCAGCTTTAGCCACACCATATTGTAAAAGCCTTAAAGCCAATAATCTAAAATTTCTAAGTCAGCATTTCTTATCTCAAAGTTTCCCACACCCGAGGAGAGCCCAACAAGGCAGATTTGGGATTTGGGCAGATTTCCTGGCCAAGCCTCACTTTAGAACCTTTTACCTTGAGGACGAGCACAGCCACGAAGGCGATGGTGAAGGTGATCATCACTTTGGCATATTCCTCTGCTGGCAGCTTCTCCAGGGCAGGCAAAGAGCCCTGGGGAGAAGGAAGAAGGTCTCAGCCCAAAACACTCAGGTCTCAGCCCAAAACACTCATTCCCTCTGCCAGGGGCACCCCACAGGAAGGGGTTCAAGGTTCAGGCAGAGCAAGGAATGAGGGATTTTCACTGGCAGCAGGATCACAGGGATATTGTTTTCCTCCTGCTGTTTCCTTCCATCTGTTCACAACAACACTGGGGTGGGACTTATTAAATAAGACTGTTTAATAAAGATGAAATTTGAGGCATTTTCCATGCAGGCAGCTCCCCCTGAATCACTTTGCTCTGCGATTTGCATCCATCAGATTCCTACAAGGAGAAACAAGGTGTATTTTTAAGGAACACGGGAGCTGTCAGTCAGGAGCACCACTGGGGAGAGCACAGAAAACCCTCTTTGTTGTCAAACTGAGCAGTTCTGGATGCTCCAGAGAAGCTGCACAGCCATGGAATGGGAATTTATAGAAGTTCCCATGTGGGAAATGAGCAGAGCTGGCTCCAGACCTACCCCACTGTCCGCAGGCTTGAGGCTGAGGTAGGTGGGCACCTCCATGTAGGAGCTGCACAGGGTGAGGATGCTCAGGCAGAAATCCAGCAGCTGCAGCGCCAGCAGGGGAGTCCTGGAGTGGCCCTGCTGAGGGGACAGGAATTGGGTTACAATCACAGGATTGAGTCACTTCTGCAGATTATTCACACTTACACAGAGCCTGTGGCTGGTTCACACGGAGTCTAAGCCACTAAATTCCCTTAAATTCAACCCAAACCTTCCCTTCTGCTGGCCCAAAGAGTGAGCAAACTGTGGGGCTTCATCTGAGCTCCACGGATGCCTCTGGCCAGAGCAGTGACAATCTCAGTTTATTTCCAGTGATGCCTTGGGAAGGCTGACCTAGAACAGAGACTAGACAGAGCTAAAAAATAAAGTAGGGATTTATTAAGCGGTCTGAATAGATCCACTTTGGGCAACACAACCCAAAATGGCCACAAAAATGGATGAGGTCACGGGGTATCTCACTTTTAGAAGTTCTGCTCCATTTGCATACTGGAGTTCATTGTCCAATTCCAGCCCCTGCAGTCCCATCCTGTTTGTTTTTCTCTCTCCAGCCCACGGTGTTTGTGCTCTTGGGCTGAGATTTGGATCATTTGTCCTTGGTCCCCAGCTAGAGCAGGAATTGTTTTGTCTCCCTGCTCTGTGCAGAAAGCTCACCGTCCCATAATGTGAAGCTCAGACACACACACTAAAGTAGCACAGAATTTGAAAAATAGGAAAGCTAAACCTGAGGCTCCACCAGAAAACCCCTCCTGTTGGGGGCACACCCAGAGCCACCTCCCTCAAAGCCAGGAGAAAATCAACTTTTCAAGACAGGGGAAGATAAATATCCCAGGGGCCACTGGCTTCCTTCAGCCTCCAGGATTGCATCCTGTCTAGCCAGGAGAAACCACCTCACATCTGGATTCAGGATCCTAAAAGTCTTTTCCAAACTAAAGGATTCCATGACAAAACATAGCCCAAGATAACAATCCTTTATTCCAACCTTCCAGGATCCTAAAGGTTTTATCCATCCTAAATGATTCCATGAAGAATTGCAGCCCAAGATAATGATCCTTTATTCCAGCCTAAAGGATTCCATAAAGAACCACAGCCCCAGGTAACCATCCTTTACTCCAACCTAAAGGATTCCATGAAGAGCCATAGCTCAGGGTAACCATCCTTTATTCCAACCTTCCAGGACCCTAAATGCATTTTCCATCCTAAAGGATTCCATGACAAACCATAGCCTAAGATAATGATCCTTTAGTTCAACCTTCCAAGACCCTAAAGGTCTTTTTCACCCTAAATGATTCCATGAAGAACCACAGCCCAAGATAGTAATTCTTTATTCCAACCTTCCAGGACCCTAAAGGTCTTTTCCAACCTAAAGGATTCCATGACAAACCACAGCCTGGGGTAGAGATCCTTCATTCAAACCTAAATGATTCCATGAAGAACCGCACCCCAAGGGAAGGATCCTCCATTCCACGTATCCCCCACCTTGGGAAAGCCAGAAGACCCCAGGAGGTGAGGAATCTTTGCTTCTTTTCTGCCAAGGTCAGGGTTAAATCGTGAGATGGTATTTCTCAGATGTTTACCAGTTCTTGTCTCTTTCACAGTCCCACAAACCGTGAGTTCTGCAGCACTTCACTCTAACACACTAAAAACAGAGCCCCATCTCTCTCTACAATTGGACAGTTCATCCTTAAAAGAACTGTCCAATTAAGAAATGACACTTAAATTATTTTCACTTTTTACCCAATAACCTGTGCCTGCAATGCAGACTTTTTATCCAATTACACAAAACCACCCAAACCCATGGAGAAGAAGGTGGAAAGGAGAAGAAGGAGGAGGAGGAGGAGGAGGAGAAGGAGAAGGAGAAGGAGAAGGAGAAGGAGAAGGAGAAGGAGGAGAAGAAGAAGGACCAGCCTCTGCCCCAAAACTTCCATCTTGCTTTATATCTGTTACTACTTTCTAAAACCCCAAACTCTGAGTTTCCCACCCTGTGACATCACACACTTCTATTCAAACTCCACAGCCACAATCCCAGTTCTACCATTCCATTTTGGAAGCTTCTCCACGGCCTCAGGTCAGTGCAGTGTTCTCCTGTGGGTCAGTGCCTGGCAGCACAGAAAGTCTCAAATTCTCAGTGATCAGGGCTCCAATGAGGAGGAGCTGTCACCACCCAGAAGCACCCAGGAGGAGGAGCTGTCACCCACCGTGTGGCCCAGGGAGGACACGGAGATGATCGCTGGCACCTGGATGTAGGAGCTGAACATGGTCAGGAGGCTGAGGAGGAAATCGATGACTTGCAGAGCCAGGAAGGGGATCAGGAGCCGCTCCCTCTTCTGAGGAGGAAAAGCAGTGCTGGTTATTTATTATATAACCATGATATATGATGGTTATTTCCATTCCAAGTGGGAAATGAGACCAGCTGGCAACACCTGGAAGGACTTAGATGGTGCTCCAAGAATTAACACTTCCCTGGAATTTCTGATTTCGGTGACAACCGATACAGAGAAAAACATCAAAGCTGATTTTTTTCACCCCTTTGGAAAATTCCTGTGAATTCTCACTCTGTGACACTGGCACTTCCCATGAGAGCTGTCATCCAGCTGTCCCTGAAATTCACCTCTGCAGAGGGAGGACTGGGTTATTTGGGTGGTGTTTAACGCTTAGAGCTCTGCCGTCAGATTCCTGGAGTTTCCAGCCCCAGGCCTGGTCATTCCTCCTTCTGCACTGGGAAATGAGTCCCTGCTGCAGCAGGGCAGTGACAGTTCTTTCACAGTGACAGTTCTCTCTGACTTGCAACAGGGCAAGGAAACGAGGCAAGAAAACCTTTCTAAATCATAAAATCTCCTTCATTTAACACCAGATGCAGACCCGATGGAAATTCTGCCCAGATTTGGTAAATCTGGGTGTTTAAATCTTTTCATGGGAACCTGAGGCTTCAAACAAGTCCCTCTCCCCCTCTGGAACCAGGAGACATTTTTACCTGCCTTTTTTCCTGTATGAATTTTGTGATTCTGGGATTTTTATCTGTCTTTTTTTTTCTTGAGTGATTCTGTGTTTCTGAGATTTTTATATGCCTTTTTTTTTCCTCTGTGATTTTTGTGATTCTGGGATTTTTATCTGTCTTTTGTCCCTGTGTGATTCTGGAAGGTTTTCTTGCTTTTTTTGACCACCATTCCAGTGATCACCATCCAAACCCTGAGTGTCATTTGTGGGGAACATACCTTGAGCACCCCGAGCAGGAGGTGGAAGCTGATGACAAATAGCATGAGGATCAGCAGGAAACTGGTGGTGATATCAGCTGAAAAGGATAAAAATGATAAAAGGAATCACCACATCACCAAAAGATGTCTCAACTCCATCACATCCTTAAGGGAGGGTTCAGCCTGGCACAAAGAATTGTGTCTGTGCAGGAATTATTGCCATGCAGCTGGAATTAACCCTCTTTTCCCTTTTTACACCCATTTTTATCTCTCTTTGAAGTTCCCACATCCACCAGGCACTGTGGGTTGTGAGCTCGAGGGAACCAAGGCCTGAAGTGTTAAATACCCCAGGCTACAAAATGAAGAATTAAAAACCCAGAGGGCTTTTTACTTGGCTCGTTGCTCTGAGCTGGAAATTATTTAGAGGCTGAAAGGCAGATAAAGGAACCAGCAGTGAAGTGCTGAAGGATCTTCAGAATCTCTCAGAGAAAAGCAGGAATTGTCACCCCAGGGAGGGTGGGAGGGATCTCTCCCCCCAACTCTGCAGCTGTGGAATGCAAGGGACACCTCAAAATGTCATGTGAGGGGCTTTAGGGTGATTTTTGGCAGCTGCTTTGGGTGCAGGGGGTGATGTTTAATATCCATGGAGTTCCTGCTCAGCCTTTGCCTAGAAGCAATTTTCCCTCCTGCAATCACAGCCTGCCCTGGTGCTGATTCACCTCTCCAGAGGCAAAACTCTGCTGCTTTTTTGTTTTATTTTTCTCTGCACAACCTTTCCCAGAGCTTCCTCCAACTCCTTTCCTTCTGTTTCACCTGAGTTTAAATCAGCAGTGGCCAGCTTGGGTTCTTCAATTCCTAAGTGCTTCAAGAAAGGGTTTAATTCTGCTAGACAAGAGCCACATTTTTTATTTTTCTGTCTTTTTTTTTTTTTTAAAGCAGCTGATCCTTCCCATAGGTGCACAGGACTGATGGTCCTTGGGGGTCCCTTCCAGCTGAGGATATTCCACACAACCATGAATAAATCCAGTGTCTAACTCTGTTTTATCCAATACCCCCCCACTCTTTTCATAAAGAACTCTGGGAATTGTAGAATCCCTGTCACATTCCGGCTGCTCTGAAATCCTTAACTGCTCCATATCACCCTTTTTCCCTCAGGAAAATTCACCTCCATCTCCCCCAGCTCTGCATGTTCACCAGGAGCTTTGGTGCCCCTTTAGTGAGGGAAGATTTCAGTGCTTGGGCAGATTCCAACTCATCCTTTATTCCTTTTCTAGAAGTGGGTATTCTTTATTCCAGTGAATATTTCTTAAATAAATATATTTCTTTTTGTTTGGTTGCCTGGTTTTTGTGTTTTGAGGGGGGGGGGGGGGGTTTTTTGTTTTGTTTTTTTTTTTTTTGGTTTGGTTTGGTTTGGGGGGTTTTTTGTTGCCAAGAGGATAAAATCATTCCTAAAGATGTCAAGGCAGAGAAACCTGTCCCTGTTTTTCAGGCAGGTGACCCCAACAATGATAACTTTATCAGAATTTGGACATTTGCTGTGTTTTGGGAGAAATGCAAAGGTTCCCCCCAGGGTAAAGGGACACAAATCTACCCCCAGCTCCAGAAAGGACTAAAAATGTCACTGAGAAGCTCTGGAACAATTCCAGGTTTGCTGAAAACCTTCCTGAACCACATCTGTGCAGGTGGCAGCAACAGTGCCACCCCTCCCATCCTCCCTCTGCTGACAGAGTTCATTTAAATGCAATTTAAATTCATTTCAATTGATACAAAAGGGATTTTCAATTTCCCTGCTATCTTCTCTTTAAATCTCCTCCAGAAATAAGCTTTGCTGATGGGAAACTTTCAGTGTGCAAAGAAGCCCTGCCCAGCACTTCCTCCCCCCAGCATGAGGAGCCTCTTCCTTCCTCAGGCTTGAGGGAAAAACCCTCTGGGGAGGCTGTAACCCCCAGGAACCAAAAAAGCTGATCTCGAGGGGGACTGGAGCCATCTGAAGGGGTGGGATGCAGGGAATGATCCAAATTATCCATTCACCCTGCACCAGGAAAGGAGGGCTGTGATGGTGCAAAGCAAGGAAAAGGATTTTCCTGATAGCCTGATAAAACCCCAGTGAATTCAGAACAGCACTTTGGAGGGACTGGGATCAATAATTCAGTAAATATGAAGTGATTAAACACAAACCCCATTAAACACAGCAATGAGAGCTCTGAGAGCGCAATATCCTGACTAGGAAAGGAAATCATGGCCTTGATGTCATTTTCTAGAGCAGGTTATAAAGTCTGTATTCCATGAATTCAGAACAATGCTGGGATGGGACTGGGATCAGTAATCCAGAAAATATAAAATGATTAAACATAATATGCATTAAAACACAACACCGAGACCTCTGAGATCACAATAGCCCCAAAGACCAAAAAATACCAACCCAAATCAAAAACCAACCCAAACAACCCCCACAAAGCAGCAAAACAACCAAACTCTGAAAGAGGAAGGAAACCCTTGAGGTCACACTTATATCAAGTTCTTCAATTCCATCAAAAACTGGAAGTGGGGATGTGTTTTACAGGGATGGATGGATGATGGATGGATGGATGGATGGATGGATGGATGGACGGACGGATGGATGGATGGATGGATGATGGATGGATGGATGGATGGTGGATGGATGATGGATGGATGGATGGATGGATGGATGGATGGATGGATGGATGGATGGTGGATGGGTGGATGCTCCTGGTTTCCTTGTGCTGATCCCAGCCCTGGCTCTGGAGCCTGCGGGGTCATTCCCTACTGGGTCATTCCCTACTGGGTCATTCCCTGGGAAAGCGCTGCAGGAAGGGGTTTCCACCCTGCACTGGGGGCTGAGCTGAGCAGAGCAGCCTCCAACCCATCCACGGGAATATTTGGGAATACTGCTCCATGAGAAACATGGCAACCATTGCACTGCCCCTTGTTCGGGTTCCTATCAGCAGGACTCACCCAAATTCCCATTTTTTGCTTACTGCTGTTGCCCTTCGCCTTGGAACTAGGTGATTAAAATCCCTTCCAATCTGGACATTCCATGATTCTGCTGGATTAACTAAACCTTTGAGTGCTGATGTCAAACAGCTCTGGGGGATCCCAGTGCTGCCTCTTTCCTTGGAAAAACCTGAAGCCAGCCTTTATAACTTCGCCAGGCAGTGCCTATTCCTGGTTTGGTGCTTTTCCCTATTTCTGACTCCTGTCCTGTGGACAGGAGAGTTTGGAATGTTCTGGAACACATACTCAGCTTCCTTTTCCTTCACATACAGGGAACAGGTTTTCAGCCCAGGAACAGCCTCTCTGGAGAACCAGGGAACAGCAATTCCTGGCAGCTAGGGATTGTGTTTTCTTTCCGTGGGCATGGACAGGGCAGGGAGGGGGCCTGGGTTTCTTGCTTTTGCTCCCAGGGTTCTCTCAGCTTGTGGTTTTTCACGGAAAATGACTCAAGAAAGGAAAACCCCCTTGCACTTGTTTCCAAACAGCTCTGGCAGAACATCCTGGTTGGGCAATATTTGAGGGCTTTGTGTTTTTTAGATGGCACCTCATGAGACAGCTTTGCAAGGTTCTGAGCTGGATCCTTCGGGAGGAGTTCAATCCTTCAGGAATTGTGAGCTATGGGACAGCTTGGCTGCCTCTTCCAGCCACCAGTGTTCTGGAAAAATACACCACAGGCTGGGAAAATCTGGCAATGGGGGTCACAGGGGGAGGGAGGGGTACTGTGGCTCTGTCCAGTTGAGAGGCAGGAGATCCACAGGAATGGCTTCATGGAATGGCTCCATTGAATAGCTCCATGGGAATGGCTCCATGGCAATGACTTCATGGGAATGGCTCCATGGCAATGGCTTAATGGGAATGGCTCCATGGCAATCGTTCCATGGGAATGGCTCCATGGCAATGGCTCCATGGCAATGGCTTCATGGGAATGGCTCCATGGCAATGGCTCCATGGCAATGGCTCCATTGAATGGCTCCACGGCAATGGCTCCATGGCAATGGCTCCATGGCAATGGTCCCATGGCAATGGCTCCATGAAATGGCTCCATGGCAATGGCTTCATGGGAATGGCTTCATGGCAATGGCTCCATGGCAATGGTCCTATGGCAATGGCTCCATGGAATGGTCCCATGGCAATGGTCCCAGGGCATTGGCTCCATGGCAATGGCTCCATGGAATGGCTCCATGGCAACGGTCCCATGGCAATGGCTCCATGAAATGGCTCCATGGCAATGGCTTCATGGGAATGGCTCCACGGCAATGGCTCCATGGCAATGGCTCCATGGAATGGTTGCATGGCAATGGCTCCATGGCAATGGTCCCATGGCAATGGCTTCATGGGAATGGCTCAATGGCAGGAGATCCATGGGAATGGCTCCATAGAAATGGCTCAGTGGGAACAGCTCTGTGGGAATGGCTCCATGGCAATGGCTCCATGGGAATGGCTCCATGGCAATGTCTCCATGGCATGGAGGGGTGTCGGTGTGTTGGTGGCAGTGTCCCACAGCCCACACATCCATGGGATCAGTGTGGGGTGGGATTTGTCCCCTCTGTCCATTGAGGAGTTCTGGGACACTTCAGTGTCTCCCTGGAAATGCCAGAATGTGAAGAAAGTGTGTGTGAGGCTGGCATGATCCACAGCTGGGGAAAAGGGAGAGGAAGGGAAACCAGGATTGCCAGGGGAATCAACAGGAGATTCCAGAGGGAGCTGAAGGACTCTGCAGTTGCTGCAGAGTTTGAGCTGATCCTTTGAAATACAAACTTCTCTGGGCTCCACATTGATCTCCAACACTGCCTTTGCCTAAATCAAACCCCAAACAGAGCCTAAATTTCTTCCTGAGAATTTTGATCCAGAATTCCAAATTCTTTGATGGAAAAGGCAGAGGGAGCAATGCAAGACTGAGGGATCCCTCCCTGCCACACAGCTGCTTCCCAGCATTCTCAGGACTCACCAATTCTGTAATAATCCTTGTCCAGGTCTTTGCAGAAGCCCTTCCCGTTGGCCACCTCCAGGGAATACTCGATCAGCAGCAGGACACTCATGACCTGGAAAACAAAGCAAAAAACACAATTCAGGGGCCTTGGGCCAAATTCCCAGCTGTGAATTTATTTCCAGGGGACCTGGATGGATGAGTCGCCAAGTGAGCCAAACACAAACGGTTAAATCCCAGGAAATTCTGAGACAACAGTTATCGGTTTATTAATATTTTGGATTTAACTGCCAGCAGAAGGAGGATGGAGAAATTACAAAGGCAGTGAGTTTTGTTTCAATGGTTTTTATCCTGGTTTTATGTTTTGAAATTGTCTTTTGCTCTGAAGTTGAGGAAAATGCAATACCAGTATTCCAAAGCATAAAAAGAAACACAAAAAAGATGAAAGGTTTCCCTGTAAGTGCAGCTGTGCCACTCCACTGACAAAACCATCACTTTCCTTCTTTTATTATTTGAGGAAATTCTCCAAATGTTCTTTTTTTTCACATTGAACTGGAATGATTTTTCCCAAGTTTTCCAAGTGGACCATCAAACCCCAGCCTCCAGGGCTCATTCTGTCCAGAGTTTAATGAGCTGGGAGATGGAGGGAGGTCCAGAGCTGTGGGCTCAGTCCTGGCCCTGAACTTCTGCACTCAGCCAGGGATGTCTGAGCCCAGCTTAGGAGATCTTCATGGAATCAAAGAATCCCAGAAAGGATGGAACTTACTGGATTATTCCCTGCTGGATTATTTCCTAGGAAAGCTCTGAAGGAAGGGATCTGCACCCTGCACTGGGGGCTGAGCTGAGCAGAGCAGCCTCCAACCCATCCACGGGAATATTTGGGAATATTGCTCCATGGGAACCGTGGGAGCCATTGCCCACACTGGAAGGGATTTGCCCGTGGGTTGGAAAGGATTGGAAAGCTCATCCCATCCCACCTCTGCCATGAGCAGGGACACCTCCCACTGTCCCAGGCTGCTCCAAGCTCCAGTGTCCAACCTGGTCTTGGACACTCCCAGGGATCCAGGGGCAGCCAGAGCTGCTCTATCCATCCCTGGGGTCCCTCCAGCTGCCCCTCTCCATGACCCTGAGCCCTCTGGCCCTGCAGTGATGCAGAAGCCAGGCCCTATCTGCCACCCACATCAGCACCAGCTCAGGCAGAGATGAAGCAATTTTTCCACCAGAGCTGCACCAACCTTTCACTTCAACCACAGCCTGAGCAGCACTGCGGGCGAGGAGGAAGTGGCACCACTGAGGTCTGGGCTTGTGTTCACAAACTGGGGCTGCTGGAACAGCACAGAACCAGCTGCTGCACGGGCTGGGGCTGGCCACAGGATGGGGCTGGGTGTTCAGAGGGATCCAGACACACTTTGGGCAGTGGGGATGCCCAGCCAGGGGGGCTGAGCTGCCCTTGCAAAGGAGCTATGTGACAGAAGTCTCTGCCTTGCTCCAGAAAGGGGGAAGTGAGGCTGGGAGGTGACAGGAGCAGAGCACAACCCCTCTCTCTGCCTCTACATCAGCTGCAAAAGACTTAGAAATAATTTCAAACCAAATTCATCAAATTTCTGAGCCCCCAGAACTGTGGCACTCCCAGAGCAAGCACCCACCAAGCCACATTGAGCTGTGAGGGGACTGGGAGCCCCTGCCCACCCTGTCCCTCTGAATTTAAAATTCTGTCCAGAGTCTGAGTGAGAAGGAAGGATGTGTCAGGTTTTCCCTGGGAGAGTCTGATACCAGCTTGTTCAAGAGTCACTCTGCTGTCTTCCCTTTTTTTCAATTAAGTAAATGAACTTTGCAATTTGCTCATGAGCTGGCAGGAAAAGGAGGAATATCCAGATCTCATTACACGAGGACATGACAAAGTTAACACGAGTTCAGCTTAATGGAACAGCATTTCAGTTCCCAGGGCAGCTCTGAACCCTGTCAAGGATGAAATTGCATCGATCCAAAGTGTCTCTACAGCTGCTGGTGCCCCTTGGGAGGAGAGGGATCTCTTAATGAAGACACATGCAGATCACACCTGACTGCAAGGTGGCTGAGAAGTTTTGTATTCAGGCTCCCAAACACGTTTTGCTTCCTTTATTTCTGCTGTTGGTCCAACCCCTCAATTGCCAGCTTGAGAAATATGGGCAGAAATTACTTTTTCAGGTTCCACTTAAAAGGAGGCCTGAGCAAAATGGATGAGCTGGGCCCTAAATATCAGTTTTGTTCTGAAAGAGGAGTGGGTGAGAGCAGGGCAGCAAACCCCAAATTCTCCCATCCCATTCAGCAGATCCAGAGGCTGAAGTTGAGCAGGAGGAACCCTCTCTGATGTCTGCCAGAGAAAAACAAGGCCCTGGTTTCCTTGCTGGTGAGGAAATGAGCCACACAACCCAGACCAAGTGCAGTCACACAAGATAAGGACATGGCAGGAAACCCCAGCCCAGCCCGAGAGATTCAGGAGACTTTTAAGGCAAAAGTTATTTAAAATTTTCTGTTTTGTGTAGAAAGAAAGAAGCACTGAGCTGTGAGCAGGTGGAGATCTCCAGACCTTTCCCTTGGCATGCAGAGCCAGGCCAGCACAGGACACCTCTCCAGCAGCTGCCTTTGGCATGCTGGGATGTGGAGCCTTCCTTATTCCTGCAGGGAATGCACATCCAAAGGATGAACCCTCTGCAGAGGGGCCTTCTGGGAGGAAGGCAGAAGAGGATGGATGTGGTGCCTGCCCTGCACTCCTTGCTCAGCTACTCCCACTGCAGATCCACCCCTCAGCTCCAGCAGAAACCCAAAACTTCTCATTTCACACAGAAAAATACCCAGTTCCCTTTCCATTTGCAATGCCACAGCAGGAGAAATGCAGGTTTAAAATAGAGCATTTCATCTCCAGGTACTCCATTCCCAGCCCCTCTCCAGCCCTTCCTCCCTGATCTACTAGAGCTGGAACTTTTGTTGCTGCCTGTCTGTAAAAGGAGCTTCACATTTCTTGGTGGAAGAAATTTGAATCTCCAGGAAATGAACAGCTGGAGCTGGGCCAGGGCAGCTCAGGTTGGAGATCAGGGCAAGGTTCTTCCCCCAGAGGCTGCTGGCACTGCCCAGGCTCCCCAGGGAATGGGCACGGCCCCGAGGCTGCCAGAGCTCCAGGAGCCTTTGGACAGCACTGCAGGGGTGCCCAGGGTGGGGCTGTTGCGGGGTCTGGACAGGGACAGGAGCTGGACTTCAGGATCCTTGTGGGTCCCTTCCAGCTCAGGACACTCTGTGATTCCGTGATATGCTGAAATAATGTAGGACTGAGACAAATCCAGTCATTAAATCAAGGGAGATAAATTAGAGTGTCTTGAAGGCAGAATCTGACACACAGAGCCCCTGTTCTCCGGGGACAATCCTGCTGCAGCTGCAGTGGGGTTAAACTGCTCTTAGAGGTCATTTTTTGCCCTTTTTTTCTGAAATATTTGCAGTTTGACTGATGTCCAGGTGATTTATCTTCATGCACATGGCCCTGGTGTGAGGCTGCTCTTCTGCGGCTTCACAGCAGGGTTTCTGCAAGGAGAGCTTGAAGCCATGGGGGACAGGGGCCCCTGGGGACAGGGACAGTGAGCTCGGGGTGCTGGGGTGTTCTGGGGACACCAGAACAAAGAGCACCACCCAAAAACATTGCCCTGTCAGAGCTTCTCCTTTTCTCTCTTGAATTTCCAAGCGGCTCTTGTGGCAGCTGGAGATGAAATGAGGAGTGCTTTGAGTTCTCATTTGGTTTCCTTTCACATTTCATCTTCTCCTTCTGCCTCCTTGGTTGAGCTGCTCCAGGAGAAGCAGCTCAGGCTCTGTGGGACCCCTGGGTCAGCCCAGCCTGGTGAGAGCTCGGTGAATCCCACTCTGAGCTCACCTGAGTTGTGTCCAGAAGTGAGGACAGGGCCTGGAAGGGCTCCAGAGGGGAATTTCTGCTCTGTTAGTTACAGAGCTACCAAAGAGAGGAGCTGGAGTGCAGCTGAGGCCAGACAAGGTGCAGACGCTGCTTCCCAAGGCTCCTCTGGCTCCAGTCAAGGAGCAGCAGGAGAGGAATTCTGTTCCTGCACTGGAGGAGGTTTCCAGCCCTGACCTTAGATCTCTTTGTCAAACACCTTGAGGCCTGAGGAGCAGGACAAACTCCCCAGTGCTGTCTTTGAAAGTCACCTGCAGGTCACCTCGCCACAGCCAGCAGAGCTTTGCTGATCACACACCCCCATCCTCTCCTCACTCCCCTCCTTCTTTCCTGTCTGTTCCAGAACGCCCAGGATTTATTCCAGTTGTCTCTGAAGAGATCAGCCGTGAGGCAGAGCTGATTTATGGGAGGAGAACACCTTGCCACAGAGCCTGAGAGCTCTATGGTGGCACTGCTGTCACCCAGCATGGCTGGGATTCATCCCTGCACCTGCAGCAGGAATTTATCCTGATCCAAAGCCCCAGAACTGATGGAGGAAACCAGCCAAGGTATAAATCCCCTTTTCCCTTTCCCTCCCCCTGCCCAGCTGCAGCTGCACCATCAGAGAGGGAGAGAAGAGGCAGAGGGAGAAGTGATAAGTATTGTGTGATACTTCCTAAAGACAAGATCTAGCCAAAATTACCCTGTTTTCCAAGGGCAACAGGCATGGTAGAGCTCCTGCTGCTCTGGGGAAGAGGGGGGACCTTGGAATGTCCTTCCTGTCCACAGCTGCTGATCCCATGGGATTTCTGCAGGCTGCAGGTCCCGGCCCTCAGCTCCCTCTCTGCTGTCCAAGGAGTGGTAAGAGCCCCATTATCACCCCAAGGGCCCAAAACTCTGACTGTGCACACCCAGAGCTGTGAGGGGACCATGGCATATCCTTCCTGTGCCACAGCTGCTGATCCCATGGGATTTCTGCAGACTGCAGGTCCCCAGCTCCCCCTTTGCTGTCCCAGGAACCTGTGAGAGCCCCGTTACCACCCCGAGGGCTCCCAAACCCTGACTGTGCACACCCAGGGCAGCACAGGGGTTATTTTAATAAACCAGCCATGCAAGAAACCACATCCTCAGGACGGTTGAAAGCACCTAAAGCTCCTCAGTGCCACCAGGAGCGTGGGAGAGAGGGGGCTTCAGGCTCTCCTGCTCTGCCATCCCTGCCCTGAACAGCTTCTAGACACTGCCATGATCCCAATGGAAACCAAAAGAGACCCAGAGGAGGCAGCCCTGCCCATCACCATCTCCTCATCCAACTCCCAAAACCCTCCAGTGCCCCATTCCCACATTCCCACTGCCAGTGCTGCCCATTCCCACCCAGCAGGCTCTGGATACACTCAGGTAGGAGCTCCTGCACTGAGCAGAAAAACAGAAAGCAGAGCAAGTTTCCCTGAGCTCCAATTGGCAGAGCCAGGAAAAAATTGTTCAAAACCCCTCCCAGTGCAACAAATTCCCTGTCTCCCACCACCTTTTGTTCATCCCTCTTAACTCATTGGGTTTTCCTCTTGGGAACAGAGAACATTCCAGTGTCAGGGAACCCTGTGAACCACAACAATGCACCTCCTGGAGAGGTTCCACCTCTGTTTTCCTGTCTCCCTGTCCCCGTTCCAGAACTCACCATGTGGAAGATCCCCAGGGCCACAGTCGCTGTCTTGATGTTGAAGCAGCAGCATTTGGGGGGCTCAGGGGGGGTTTGGGGGGTCATTTTTGGGTCCCTCTGAGCACTCCTGAGTTAATGAGGTCGGATTTGCAGCCGCCCCACCGAAAACGAAGCGAGAGCAGCTCGGCTTCCTTCCTGCTCTCTGAATGTGTGAAGTCATCTACAAAGTCACATGAGGCCTTTGGGTTTCTCAGTCACAAAGAAAGCAAAACTGGGGGGCTTTTGAGCACATCCAGCTGGGAGATCAGAGCCCCAGTGCTTTGTCCAGCACAGGGTGTCAGGAGTGGACCATCGGGAGCAGGACCGGGCTTTGTCCTACAAAAATCCTCAGGAACAAAACAGGGGCCAGGAATTTCACCTCAAGCTCACCCTGCTGTTTTTGCAGCAAAGCATCCAAGTTCCTCCCTTCGGAGCTGGCGCTCCCTGCCAGCAAAGGCACCGCTCCCTGGAGCTGCTGCTGGAGCAGCCCTGGGCTCTGCAAGGAGGAGGAGGAGCAGGGCAGAGGGTGTTGATGCCTTTTTGGGGCTACCCAAAAACACAGGCCAGACAGAATTAAGGGAATAAAAAGCAATTATATTTATTGAAGGGCCTTCAGGTACCTTTTGGGCAGACAAAGCCCCCAGAGGCTACACCCAAAAATGGACCAGAGGTCACAGGTTTTCACACTTTTATAAGTTTGGTCCATTTGCATATTGGGGGTTGCTCTTCCAATTACAGCTTCAGCTAATGAAGTCATTTACCCCAAGTTTGCTTTTGTTTCCATCTCTCAGAGCCTGAGGCAGTGAGGTGTCCTTGATTGCCAGGCCTGGAGAGGAATTGTTGTGTCTGGCCAAAATGAGAAAGCAGCAGTTCACACTGTGTATGGAGTTCAGAGTTATGCACTAAAGAACTGCAGGATTACAAACACATGAAAATATAAAAGCTGAAATTCTAAGGCATCAGTGTTGGCTGAGGGATCTCCAGCTCTGGTCCCAGCTCCTGGGGATGTGATCTGTGTCCTCATCTCCTGGAAATAAAACCAGTGAGATCTGAGTGTGGTGGCTTTGTCACTGTGCAGGACATCAGGGTGTCCTCCTGCCTGAACTAACTATGTGCTCTTTCACAGAGATTTTTTTACTATTCTCATTAAAAAACTCCCATTTTTAATTCTCTTTTCCTCTTCCCCCACCCCAAGGGACAGAAATTCCCTGTTTATACACCTATGGAGCGGATTGTTCTGAGTTTTGGGCTTTCTGACAAAGGTTTGATGTGTCCCAGCAGGGACAGCTCTCCAGGAGGGAAATGCAGGTAAATAAAATGAGAATTGGGCAAACACTCACATGAGCTCTTGTGGGTGTCACATCCCAAAAACGCTCCCTGGATTTGCTGTTTGATGCCTTCAGAAGCCTTGCCAGCACAGCATCCCTGCAGTGATGCAGCAGAGGGGCTTCTTGGTTTTTTTAATGGAATTAAATACAGAGATTCCGTCTGGGTGCTTCATAAATACAATCCAACTGCAAATATTATTGGTGGATCTCTGGTAGAGCAGGAAGGTGAAATCTCTTCACCAGTAGGGAAAGCACAAAGCTGCAGGTGAGGACTGTGGGCACCACATCCACCAGCGCCCCTGGAGCTACATTCACCTGTGAGAAATAGGCTTAAAAATCAGGTTTGTTTTTACAAATGGATCATTTTGGGCATCTCTCCTTTACAAACCAGATGCAAACATGGGCTTGTCTTTGCCTTCCCCACATGAAATGTGTTTTCTTTAGGGGCTGCCTCCACTCATGATAAATAGGGTTAAAAATAAGTTTTATTTTTAAAAATAGATAATTTTGAGCATCTTTCCTATACAACAGGCTTGGCTTTGCCTTCCCCATATGAAATGTGTTTTCTTTAGGGGCTGCCTCCACTCCAAGCCAGTTTGTGGAAGGAGGTGCAGGAGGATGAAGGATTTCCTGCAGATCTGAAAAGCTGGTTTATGATCTGACCCTGCCCCTTGTCCCCTCAGGGGCACACAGAGCTCTCCTTGTGTGCCCAAGCATACCAAACCCAAACTGAGCTCTGGCTGCAGAAAAACAAACACAAACAGATACAAGTCTGTTCCATTTCTTTTTCAGTTGGTGCTGCAGTGAGCAAATCATCCATGTAGTGTAAAATTCTTGACTGTGGGTGTTTTTGTCGGGCTGGAGACAAAGCTTTTGCCATGAAATATTGACAAATAGTAGGCAAATTTTTCATCCCTTGCAGCAAAACTGTCCAATGGTAAAACCTTTGCAGCGGTTTTCCTCTATTGATGGCTGGAACCAAAGGCAAACCCAGGAGCATCTTCTGGATGCAATGGAATGTTGAGAAAACAATCTTTTGAGTCGATGACAACAAGAGGCCAGTCTCTTAGTGTCACTGTTAAGTCAGAAATGACACACAGTCGGTCAGAAGGCTGAGTGGCATAAACGCGCTGCCATCACTGAAACCACTTCTTTTATAAACTGGTCCGACACAGGTGGACCTGATTGGTTATTTAATCAATACAATTCACCTGACTGGCTAATTAACAAGACTTTAACATTTGTAAACAACCTTACGAGAATAACAGGAAAGCAGATTATTAGAAAAACACCACCTACAGGTTGTTTTTAATATTGGCTCTCATTGTTTATCTCCAGCTCCCTGAAGCTTACCAGGCTGATTCTGGGAAAATTTATTTAGCTTTCTCTTTCTCTGGCCAGCCTGTCACATCCACGGCTTGGAATCTTTGAAAGAGAGGGAACTCCAGGCTGCAGAGGCCCCATGTCCTCTTGATCTCGTTGATGTTCCTCAGGCCGTGCTGCAATCTCCAGGAATCAGAAGTCTTCTTATGAATGACATAAACTGGGAAAAGCTGAGGCTGGGGTGCTGCTGGAGCCTGGAAACCACTGAGGCCTGGCAGTGCCACCCCCATGTCCCCTCTGGGGACTCCAGGTTTTAGGAGGTTGCTCTGCTCAAAGGGACACAGCCTTGGCTGGACATTGAATGCCGGTCATGGATTTGAGGTGTTTTGTGGTGCTTTGTCTGTGACTCCTTCCTGGCAGCAATTCCAGATGGAATTTCTCCTTGGAGGGGTCATCAGAGCATCTCCCACCAGGAGAGGCTGGGACCAGGCCCTGTCCCTTGTCCCCAGAGCAGGGAAGAATTCCAGCCCTGTGTGAGCTGCTCCTCAAGGAAAGCTGGGCTGGAGGGTGGGGCAGCCATTGGGAATAAATCCAACAATAAATGAACAAATAAAATAAATATATAAATATAAACATGCCAATAATAAATAAAAATAAATATAATATCATTATATAATATATAGAATATGTGTTATATAATATATTCTATATTAATACATATGTATAAAAAGAAATAGAATATAATGGATATAATAGATATAATACATATGCTATAATATTATTGAAATATTTAAATATTTTCTATTTTAAAATAATATAAATATTAATATTATAAATATAGATAAATATAAGTATGTCAAATAAAATAAATAAAGAATGAATATAAATATATGTCTTGGTTTAGGGCAAATTTGGGAGGAAACTTTTGAAGTGGTTTACTTTAGAAAATAAATTCAAGCTGGCTCTCCTCTAACTGGTTCTTCCCCCTTTGCTCTCAGACTTAAAGGGTAAACTTAATATCCAGCATAAACAGAACAGACTGGGGATACAAGCATCATAAAGTCACCCTGAGACAATATAATAATGCATTTTGATAAATATATTTATTATGTTATCTAAATATACATAAATATAAAAATACAAATAAATATCTATGCAAAAAAAAAGTAAATAAATATAAAATCTGTGGGGGGATTTGGAGGAGATTTGGGGAGGATTGGGGGGTTCAGGGGGATTTGAGGGGGGTTGGGGGACATTTGTGGAAGTTCAGGAAGGTTTGTGAACTTTTGGAAGGGCTGAAGGGGTTTAGGGGGATTTGGGGAGGATTGGGGGAAACTGGGAGGGTTAAGGGGGGATTTGGGAGCCATGGGGAGGTTTAGAGGGGATTTAAGGGGGTTTGAGAGAATTTGGGGGGATATGGGAGCAATTGGGGGTATGGAGGGGATTTGGGGCACATGAGGGGGTTTAGAGGGGATTTAATTGGGCTAGGGGGAATTTTGAGGAATTTGGGGGCATATGGGAGGGGATTGGGGGCTTAGGGGGCATTTGAGAAATTTAGAGGGGATTTGGGTAAAGTTGGCAGAGAATTTAGGGCGACTGGGGAATTTGGGGGGAAATTTTGGGGTTTGGCAGGGACTCAGGAAATTTCCCTGCCTAACCCTTTCTGCCCATTTCAGAGGTGATTTGGGGAACTCGTTGCTCTGGGGAAGGGAAGAGGGGTGGGGTTAGGACACACAGTTTTGGGTCTGTGCTGCTGTCGCAGGTGGGCAAACAGAGCACCAGGAAATTCCCAAATTTGTCCCAGAGCTGAGCTGGGCTCAGCTCCTGCCCAAATCTCCTGAACAGCTCCCAGTCCCCACCAGCCCCAGTCCTGCTCAGTCCTGGGAAATGTTTCCTCTGTCCTTCCTGGGAGAAACACAGCTCACTATTGAAAATTTTATAAAAGTTTATTAAGGGATAAAAGGGACAAAATCCAGGGCTGGGGTGCTTGGCTCTTTGCCAAACGCACACCTTAACTTAATCCATGTTCTCTATATCCTGTTGCATCACAGGGGATACATGCATATTCACAAAGTTTATACATATTCAAACATTCCTTTGAGTTTAGTTTTTGAGTTCTTTTGCTTTGTTTTAACCTTTGACTTGTCTTCATGCCATCTTGTAGATTAAACTAAAATATTTTGTTTCTTCTTGTGGTTCAACCGTGTTGTATTTTCACTCCCTGATAAAGAAGGTCAGTAAATTCTTCTCCTTTTTTTCAGTGCTCATTTTGTTTCTGTTATCTTGTCTTTTAGATAAGATAGTCCCCAAAGGTGGGAAATCACCTCATTATTTTACACCATTTTCTGAGTTAGTTACATGAAAAAACATTTCAACATTTCACAGTCTCTATTATGCTGTGGTCCAAAATGGTATACATTACACTATATTTACACTATATAGTAGTATTACACCATATAATAGTATATATTACACTATATATCACTACTATTTATAAATGCTATCCATAAACTGACAGATTATACTATATCAAAAGCAATAATTACAAATTGTACTAAATCAGGATTTT